GTTGAATATACCATGGACTGCTAGGAGAACAAACAGGTTTGTCCTGGACAGGGTGAAGCCAGAATGCTCCTTGGAGTCAAGGATTCTGAAGCTTCATCTGATATACTCTGGGCATGTTGCAAGGAGGGACTGCTCCTTGGAGAGGGACATCATGTTCGGGAGAGTGGAGGGATGACGCAGGAGAGGAAGACCCTTGATGAGATGGATCAATTCTGTTGGTGGAGTGGTGGGAATGAGTGTGTTTGAGATGGTGAGACTGGCACAGGATAGAACAGCATCTAGGGCTCTTGTACATAGGGTTGCTATGAGTTGCAAGTGACTCGATGGCATTTAACAACAACAACAAAGGTAGGGTGATTGTTATTTTTGTGTACCATCTTCCTGGAACTGATTCAGAGCTGACATTCCAGGGGGGTTTCAGAGACAGTAAATCCCATGGGAGGAGATTACCCATCCTTCTTCCACAGAACGGCTGGTGGATTAAAATCTCATGCCTTCGAATTGGAAGCACAGCTCCTTACCACTAAACTACTAGAGGTTCCTAGGTAGGGAAGATAAATTAGTAGACATCTTTTAAAATGACACCTAAAATGATTCTTACCTCTTGGTATTCATGCCCTGTGAATTTTTTTCCCCCTTTGGATGTTGTCTGAATCTAGTGACTCACATTTTTTTAATTTTTTTTAGTGATTTATGTGTTTATATTGTGTTTTAAGGAGTTCTGGTGGCATAAGAATTATGCTGTTAATCTAATGGCTGAGCCTCCTTGGAGGTTCAAATCCACCGGAAACTCTGTAGGAGAAAGATGGACAATCTCCTTTGTGATGTACAGCCTCAGAAACTCAATGGAAGATCAGTTATGAGTCGGTTGTGACTTGATTACAAGAAGTTATTTTTGTTGTTAAACTGTGAGGGTGTACTGTTTAACATGTTGAGTTGTTGACCAAAATGGGAAAAAGATGAGCAGTCTCCTCTCATAATGATTTAGTCTTTGAAATCTGATAGATTGTTGCTGTGAGTCAGAATCAACTCATCAGCAGTTGGTTTGGATTTAAGCATTGTGATTTAGGTGAAAGTTTACAGAGAAAACTGGTTTTCTACCCAACAACTCACATACATTCAGTTTTGTGACATTAATAGCAATCTAACTCTTCCCATTTCTTCCCTATGTTTATAATTGTCTTTTGTTCCCTTTTCTTATCCCTCCTACATTTTGAGTGTTATCCCTTAGCAAAGGTTATCTTACAGAGTTCGTATACATTGTTTTTCACACCTGTTCTTTCCCCTTTTCGTTACGCCTCTCCCTCTAACCA